CTCGGCATGCGCTCTGAACTGAGAATGACAGTTCTGTGGCCAGCCGAGTTTGGCACCCTCACCTTACGGATCAACGGTCTTTCAACGGCTGGGCCAGTCCTTTTTTGTGCTAAAAGCATTTGACCTGTATTGCAAATAGCCATTCAGGGACTGTGCCAGGACTGTCTTAACTTCTTTTCACCGGTGCAGTAATTTCGCCATAAGTGTTGACACTTCCGATGCCGACTCGGAGAACCCGAAATTAACGCTCTGCCAGTGCAGTACCGTATAATGGAGGTTTTTAAGGCCTCGAAGATTTTATAATTTCGCTTTTCTTCAGAAAGAGCAATCAAGAGTCATAGTGCAACACGTTAAGTGTCTTCCCCGCATTTCTCTCTTCCTCTCTCGTTCACTCTCCCCTTTGTCTCTTTCTTGCTGGCTTACAGGGCGAACCACCATTTGTCAAGAAGTAGAAAAAATAACATTATGGATGCAATTTATGAATTTTGATGAAAGGGTTGTTGTGAGTTACCGAGCATCCTCACTGCCGCCAGGGGATGATTAATTTCTGATTCTGTTCCTGGAAGGTGAGCTTTTTTTGCCTCTCGCAAAGGCAGACAAATTTTCAATTTCTCCCCTGAAAATCTTCGATGCCAATTCGTTCTTTCTGATATGTTTATTTTACTTGTTGTGCTCTTCACATAAAATGAGCGAAGATTGTCAACTTCAAATGTTGCTGGGAGTATGCGACTGGTGTCGCTGCTACTCTTCGCTGACGGACGCATGTTGTTCGAGGGAGGGGAGGGGTGCAGTCCAGTGACATTGGCCAGGAGTGTCAAGCTCCAAATATGTATTTCGCATAATATGAACATAACAGTCAGTGACAAACATTTCTTTTTAGTCTCTTTCTTTGCTCATACAAAACAGAGTTAGAGTTACGAGCAGCAGGCTGAACATCGGATAATGCAACAGCTGGAAAATTTATTAACTTTGGCGCGAGTGCGGCTCAGCCCCACCGAATGAACTCATTACTTTTGATGAGAGAAGATACTTCAGTTTGCCCTCTGTATATATCGACACATATATGTAGAGGGCAAATATATATATTCTGTTAGGGCGTGCGCCCCAACGAGCTTATGGCAGAGGTAGAAGCTTCGAGCGGCCGCATCTGAGCGGTATCAGCAGGACGAGTAACTCATCTCGTTTTCGGACTTTGCCTTCCCGTTGTCACTGTTACGAGCAGTGGTTGATACTTCCTTCTTCGGCGAAACACACGACGTGTTTTAGCAAAATGCATTAGCTGCGGGGTGCAGCATGCCACGTCCCATGTTTTGTTCGTGCTGAGGGGGCGACAGCGAAGCAAGCACACTGCGTGAAAGATGAAGTGCGAATGTCCCATCGCGCACAACTGTGTTTGTTGTTTTCTAATACTGTTTGTGTTCTGGTTTACTAAGAAGTGAGAGCATACCGCGCGAACGAATCAGACAAACTGCGAGTAGCAGGGAGACTGCCAATTCCGGGGATGTGCTAAGAGCTCCTCTGCTTTGCTGTTGTGCAGTATTCTCGAAACGCTGCAAACTTTTTTTTTCCTTAAATGTTAAATTTGGAAAGTTCAAATATTGCACAGCACGAGTAGTAAAGGTCACCGGTATCAAGGTCATCCGAGTGCTGCAACGTCGTTGTGACTGAGAAACGAGCAGTCATCCGCGGAGCGCAGTAGCCGCAGGCGATTGTGTTCTGGGCCATCCACCTTCGGCTGCTTCTCGTGGATCCTCTACGTTGATCCAGCTTATTTGACCGATCGGTTTTTCCACTCTCTGCGGCATTCCCGTTCTCCAACCGTTGTTAGCGGATGATCAGTGATCCTCACTGTCCCGGAATGTACTTCCGTGAACTGGACTTGATTCCTAGTATAATTAAAAGATTTTTCAGTCGTTAACATTCTTTTCCAATCTTTCATTGAACCAGCCTTCTTCTCTCCTTCTTTTTTATAATCTAAGAAAAGTAGAGGTTTTAGCCGCTTTAATGTAGTAATTATCAGGAGCTGCATAACGGCGTTCGGATGGTCTTGATGATATATGATCTGTCGTTTCATCATTGCGTTCCCTTTTGCGATTTCCTAGTGGCGCAGGCAGCCTCTCCGTCTCTCACTTCGTTTGTTTGATGCATTCATGTAACTGCTTGGAGAGGTTTAACTGGATCGCCCAATCGCTCTGGCTTGCTCGGCATTTGAGTTGCTAAATGTGCAAATTTGAGTTAAAATTTTTCAAAAAAAAAAGTCGGAAAAAATCTGACGCTGAATGAAGTAATCTATCGCAGTACAATTTGTTATTTTATGTTCATTTTTCTCCCATTTTTTTCGCCGTTTTACTTTCCCGCTGATTCCACATTACACAACTTTTTGCATCGAAGAAGTACTGCTCTGTTTTCACGTAAGCAGCACGGAGCCGCGCATGTGGTTGCTTGCTGATTTCACGAAAACATAGGAAAAACGATGTTTTCATGAAACTATACTTTTCCTTTTTAAATAGCGAAATCGGTGGCGATGATCACGATAACGCTTGTTGCTGGTGCTCCTGATGTTACTGCCTAT